CCGCCTTCATCCTAACCTTAATCTCCTCTTCAATTTCGTTCTTTTCTAGTAATCGTAGATCCTAGATACCTAAACTTCTCTACAAGTTCAAAAACATTACCTTCTTTATCGATATCACCAGAATTATCGATATTTTTGCAGCATATATGCTTTGTCTTATCCGTGTTTATTTCAAGTTCTAGTTCTTTACCGGCTTTCATTAACGTTGTCGTATTTAGTTTTATAATTTCCGTGTCTTCGCCTAACAGGACCAAATCATCCGCAGATCCAAGCACGGGTGTTGTTCCACCCAGATTCAACACTTTTTGGGTGCACAATACTTCCTTAAAGGCATGTCCTAATGCCAAATTTAAAAGGAAGGAAACACTTTGTTTTAAACCCGAACGAACCTTAAATTTTTAGGTGAATAATTACCGTTTTCGTAAAGCACTCCACTAGATTTACTATTTTTTCTTATTGGAATCCATTGTTCCATTAATAGGAGAAACTCTTAGGCATAACGGAAAATATATAACATTACATAACCTTCCAATTGGAGATTTCCATATTAATATTATACAATCGTTGAATACAGCATAAACTATTTAATATCACTAATTTAAATAAGTAAATTATAAATAATTAAGAACATTTTTAGATTGACCTTGTTTTGATGTGTATATTTTATACAATAGAACTTTGTTATAAACTTTAAAAACTTCTTATCAAACAAAATTAAACTAATTAGCCCTAACTAAAATACATAAAATTGGCGCTCCACTTACTCTTATTATCAGTAATATCAATGGAGAAACTGAAAAACTTGGCTAAATATATCAATTAACAAACTCAATATACTAAATTAGATAGTAACAATGATGTAAAAAGTTCTATGGAGATGGATCAAATACATCCACATTTGGATACAAATACAAAGAATAAATAAAATAGAAAACAGGTAAACGAACATTGTTTGATCTATTTTGATGTAGAAAATATATTTACCAGCAACTGGAAAGATGTAATAAAAATAGTTGAAAAATACTGGGAAACAATAGAAACGCATACACAAATTAAAGGTTTTTATGGAAGATATGGATTAAAATATCTCAGAAGCTAAAAGTCGGACCTGCATACTATAAGCGAGGAAAGTGTTCAGCATTTGACCCTCTTTATAATGAGCTATTATTTATAATTTATATTTCATATTATTAATCTCGTCTTGTTGCTGTTTTCACTTCTATCGTATGGTCTAAAACACACACTTCAGTTTTTTATCTTAAATATTGATTTCCTAAAATACTCAGCTTTCCAACGATGTATTATGCGTTTATCTTCTGACTATTATTTCTAAATTTATTTCCAACCTAAATAAACATGTTTCCATTTTTCACCTATTTTTTAGTAAATCATCAAATTCTTTCAAAGGCTATATTTATCCATTTTTTTTTATTATAGCTAACAATAAGAGATAGTTAATTATTTAAAATTAATAAAATTAAAAGTACTTCAGAGGAGTAATTTTTGCATTAGGCATTTAAGCGGTTTTAAGCGACATCAATGGGGATAATACCTGAATGATTTAATTGTACGTTTTCGAGAAAATAATTAAAATGCTTTAAATCGATTATATAAAGTACCATTTCCGTTTACTTATATTCCAGACGTATACCTAACATCTCAGGCATTTACGAACCTTAAATATAAAATACCACTTTCGTTCGACATTTTATTTTTGAGATATACCGTTAACATACATAAGCACACACAAACCATTTTGCAAGACTTGGTTATTTGATTTCAGAGGACCTCAATACGTGTATTCTCATTGAAAACTCAGATTCGTAAACTTTCACGATTGCAATACTCTCCCTTACTAAATATTTCGTTTATAGGTAAGTGAAAATAAAAAGAAGACAAATTTCGAAGCTTATTTTTGTTCTGTTCATTATTCCAAGAATTGGTGTCTCGAGGTTTTATTTTTTTTATAAATTAGACCATTATTCATCAATATATTATTTATTATTTATTTTATTTCGACAAAGTTTCGACTATCACTAGGGCAATTTTCAATTTTGGAAAAACTTTAATATCATTGTTAGATTACATTTACATTTAAAAATCAATTTTATTGTATTTAATTATCTAATCCAACGATACATGTCATACAATTTCACTATATATAAATTTGTATACTTTTTTAAAAGCCTATCAAGTAAGTAATTTTACTCATTATATAAACTTGATTTTTACCTCTTGAACCGTCCAATAAATTTTCACTATTCACTATCACATTAATTTTCAGAGAAAAATAAACTGTCCATATATTATAGAGTTTCCCCCACGCCATTTCTAGGGGAACTGATTATATCGTCCGGGTGGGGATGGTCAATGGGAGTGGGGTTTTTCTTATATTGTTTTGCAGTGGTGTATTATTTTATCTAAAATGTGGATTCTATGTGTCCGTATAAGATTCCAATGAAACTAATAAAATCGAGCTTTCCTATAGTTATTCCCGTGCTTTACCATATCGATAACTTTTTATGCAAAACTCCATATTTACATCTTCCTGGAAAACTGCCTTAATCCGACCTTTGAATAAAATTTCCAACCCCACCTCACTGCACGACTTCCGTCCTATTTCTCTCCTATCCAACCTGTCAAAGTACTTAGAACGCCTTTTCCAGAATCAACTCTACAATTTCCTAGAGAAATGTTCCCTTATCAACCTATTCCAATCTGGCTTTCGACCTTGGTTACTCAATGCAATTCACTCTCCTTAAAATAACCTATGACTTCCAAAACTCTGTTGAACACCAAAACCTTACTATCCTCATCTTTCTAGATTTTTCCAAAGCGTTTGACACTCTTGAACATAACGCCCTCCTCACTAAATTACACAATCATCCACTATCCAACAGTACCCAGCGGTGGTTCAAATCCTTCTTTTCAAATCGGTCCCAGTATGAAGTCGTCCCAAGTCAACCTCCATCTAAGACCCTCCTCTTCTCTTGTGGTGTCTCTCAAGGTTCCTCTCTGTCAACTATTCTGTTTGCTATTTACATAAATAACCTTCCCCTCACGATCCATCACTCCTAATACCATATCTATGCAGATGATTTCCAAATATACCACAAAAAAGCTTCAAGAAGATTTGGATGGGATTTGTGACTGGGGGGAAAAGAGGAAGGCAATCTTAATATGCTCCAATCACCTCCTTAAAACTGTTCATATTATTCCAATTATGTTCCTGCATGATAATCCCATTAAATTTTACTCCACCGTCAAAAATCTTTGATCAAACGCATTCCTGGAAAAACCATTGAACCAACATTTCCACTCTAAAACGTCTAAATTATTATCGCCACCTGTTTCTCCTTGAAACCCATGGGCTCGTAGTCGCTTCCTTAATAGTTCCCCACTTTGACTATTGCTGTACGGTATATGGTGGCGTCTCTGGGGATCTCGAGGCGAAACTAAAACGTTTGATAAATTACTTTATAGGATTCATCTTCGTAAACCATTGACTTCCTGTCCTTCAGTATCCTTTAACAACATCTCACTTATTCCTGTTGAACAAAGCCGTTACCTAGGACTCCATCTGGACTAACTTGGAATCCTCATACCAGACTGAAACGACAAGAAACAGCTCGACGTTTTCGACTACTTCAACATTTACTAGACAAACGCTCTAACCTTCCAATTAACTATAAAAGACTAATTTACATGACTATAATAAGGCCTATTTGGACTTACGGAGTTGAGCTATCCCAACTCTCTTGTTTCTAACCTTGCTTCCTAATCAATTCCTGATAATCCTCCGAGGCGTCTGAAAAGAAGATGGCCACGTGATCTCCTAATATAGACATATTATTAGAGTGCTACCAATGGATAGTTTCTCAACATGTGTTTAATGTCTTTATATCCATGTACGAATTTACCAGATGTATTTTTTGTAAACAGTTGTAAATATCATATAAATAAAAAAAAAAAAAAAAAAAAGGATTCATCTTCGGGACCCCAAGGGACGCCTCAGTTTCCTCTTTTTATGAAGAGTTGAAGTGGTTTTATACTTGATATCGCCGTATTTCCTAACATCCTTTCTCTTTCAAGTCATCCAATCCCGCCGTCTTTCATACATCTCCGAGCTCCTTTAATTCAAATCCTCTGTTCGTTTCCGCGATACCTGGTCTATAGATTTATAAACAAGGGCCCATAAACTATCCCATAGGATTTATAAACTGCTGCTTTCGACAGATCGTTCATTTATAACTATGTATACATAAATTTCATCTAATTCTCTCAATCTAAAAGTTAATAATATGTGCTATCAGTTTTATTTATTATTCTCATGTAATCATTTAAATTAATAACTAACTAATTACTAACAAATAAATCTATTGATGTTATTAACGTTTTATCACATAATGTCCTATATAATTGTGGGTAAATGGTTGACTGTCGTGAATAATGAAGAGAAGAATAGTTGGGATGATCAGTCAAATAAGAAGGCAAAAAATAAATGATAATATTTATTTAGACATTTGCCAACGTTTCGACCTGAAGTTCAGGCCTTCATCAGGACTGTCTCCACCAGTGTTAAACGGAGAAGACTTGCCACTTCCAGGTCCAAACGTCGGCAAATGTCAAAATAAATATTATCATTTATTTTTGCCTTCTTATTTGACTGATCACCCCAACTATTCTTCTCTTCATTCAATGTCCTATTTATTTATAATGGCTTGGATTGAATTTGCTGAATTCTTCGGATGTTTCGGGGCTTTTCAGTACCTCGCAATTTCTCGTATATCCATGAAGGCTTTATTTCTAGTTTTTATCTAGAATAATTTAGATCATCTGACAACTTAGCTGGTAACGATAGTATAAAGCTTTTGTTCAGTTATTGTATACTAAGTTAGATGTGGGCTCTCTAAATCAGTTTCTTGTAGTATTTGAAACCATATTAAAATGCCCCTCAAAGCAAGATCCGTAAGGGAAAAACTCGAAATAAAATAGAGAGTAAAAAATATAAAAATATATTATTTTGAACATAAGTATATTTACATTACCTAGTTTTTGTTTTATTTACATTGGCAGAAATACGTTTCAATATTATAATACAAAAACATTCCTTTTAATAAAATACTTCATAACAAGAAATGTATTTTTCCAAACCTAATCTTCGAGGTCATGGTCTTGGTCTTGGTCTCGAGGTGACTCAACCGCTCCTTTTGATTCAAGGTAACTCACTACGTCAAATTGACCATTTTTTGCTGCGTAATCTATGGCCGTCCATCCTTCATTATCTGCATGGTTGATTACAACTCCTCGGTCAATGAGAGCCTTCACGATCTCCAAGTGGCCATTAATAGATGCCTCCGTTAGTGGTGTTCTGCCAAAATATGGGTTAGCTGTATGGATATCGGCTCCACTATCCAAAAGTAAAGTCAGCACTTCAAGCCTTCCGTATCCTGCTGCATCATGTAGTGCAGTCCATCCGTTGTAATCTTTCTCATTGATAGGAGCTCCTCGGTCAATTAGAAGTTTCGCCACATCCGAATGGCCATTAACAGATGCTTCCATTAGTGGTGTTCTGCCTGAACTTGACTTAGCTGTTAGATCTATACCACGTTCTAACAGCAAAGTCACAACGCCAAAATGCCCTTTTTGTGAAGCATAATGTAAGGCAGTCCATCCATCATTATCCTCATCGTTTATAGGTACTCCTCGGTCAATTAGAAGTTTCGCCACATCCAAATGGCCATTAACAGATGCTTCCATTAGAGGTGTCCTGCCTGAATCTGACTTAGCTGTTAGATCTCCCCCACGATCCAACAGTAAAGTCATCACACCAACATGTCCTTTTTGTGCCGCATAATGTAACGCAGTCATTCCATCATTATTCTTATCGTTGATAGACGCTCCACGGTCGATGAGAAGCTTCACCGCATCTAAAAGACCATTTTCAGATGCTTTCATTAGTGGTGTGATGCGTGAACCTGACTTAGCTGTTAGATCTGCTTCACCATGCAACAGCAAACTCACCACGCCAACATGTCCTCTATCAGCTGCATGATATAATGCAGTCCATCCTTTCACATCCTTATCGCTGATAGGCGCTCCTAGGCCAATTAGAACCTTCACCACATCCGAACGACCATTAGTAGATGCTTCCATTAGTGGTGTGATGCCTGAATCTGACTTAGCTGTTAAATCTGCTCCACGATACAACAGTAAAGTCGTAACATCAACATGGCCTTTTTGTGCCGCATAATGTAAGGCAGTCCTTCCATCATTATTCTTTTCGTTGATTGGCACTCCTCGGTCGATGAGAAGCTTCACCGCATCTAAAAGTCCATTTTCAGATGCTTCCATTAGTGGTGTTTTGCCCGAATCTGACTTAGCTGTAAGATTGGCTCCACGTTCCAGAAGACAATTCACCGCGCCATCTTTCCCACTAGCGGCTGCATGAAGTAATGCAGTCCACCCTTTCACGTCATTTTCGTTAACTGGCGCTCCTCGGTCAATTAAAAGCTTAATCACATCCAAATGACCATTAACAGATGCTTCCATTAGTGGGGTGATGCCTGAAACCGACTTAGCAGTTAGATCAGCTCCACGATCCAACAGTAAAGTCATCACGCCTACTTGCCCTTTTTTTGCTGCATAATGTAACGCAGTCCAGCCATCATTGTTCTTATCGTTAATAGGCGCTCCTCGATCTATGAGAAGCTTCACTGCATCATGATGGCCATTTTCAGATGCTTCCATTAGTGGTGTCTTACCCGAATCTGACTTAGCTGTTAGATCAGCTCCACGATCCAACAGTAAAGTCGCCACGCTAATTCCCCCTTTTTCTGCAGCATGATGTAATGCAGTGAATCCTTCGTTATCCTTATCGTTGATAGGCGCTCCTCGATCAATTAGAAGCTTGGCCACATCCGAATGATTATTAATAGACGCTTCCATAAGGGGTGTCCTGCCTGAATCTGACTTAGCTTTTATATCTGCTCCACCTTCCAGAAGCAAACTGATCACGTCAACTTTTTCTCCATCAGCTGCATGATGTAATGCAGTCCATTCTTTTTTATCCGTATCGTTGATAGGCGCACCTCGATCAATTAGAAGCTTCACTGCATCTATATGGCCGTTAATAGACGCTTCCATTAGAGGAGTCCTGCTTAAACCTGACTTAGCTTTTAGATCTGCTCCACGATCCAACAGTAAAGTCATAACATCAACATGGCCTTTTTGTGATGCGTAATGTAGAGAAGTGTATTTAGCAGTGTCCCTTTCATTTACCTTTGCTCCAGAGTCCAACAAAATTAATGCACAGTCAACGCAGCCTCCTTCAGACGCGAAGTGCAGCGCTGTCCGCCCCTCTTTGTTCTTGAGTGTTGGATCTGCACCGCTGTACAATAAAAATAGAACCAGATTATTCGTCTTTGATCTCGTAGCAGCCATCAGAGCAGTTTCTCCATCGTTATCCTGCATGTCAACTCCTGCACCGTGTTTAACTAGGACTTTTACGACATTCGTGTATCCTTTGGCCGAAGCTATATGAAGAGCGGTTTCTCCTTTTCTTGTTGTAATATTAACATCCGCACCAATCTCCAACAGCGTCTCAACAACTGATGGATCAATAGCTATGTGTAAGGGTGCGAGACCATCCTTGTTCCTGATGTTTGATAACACTCTTTCATCTTTGAGTACTTTGAGCATTTCTGTCGCATTGTTCGAACGAACTATCAAGTGAACTAATGTATCATTATTTTCCAATTGGAGGTCTTGTAAAAGCCTACATTGAACTAATGCTGTGAACATATCAACACTCGATGACACAACGGCTTTATGGAGGAGAGTCTTCCCTTCTTCGATTATCAAAGAGATATTATTACATCTTTCCACTAATATTTCAACCCCCTTGACATTTCCTGCTTTGAAAGCTAGCTGCAATGGAGTATCACCCAGCTGGTTCCTTACGTCGGGTTCAAGTCCTGCTTCAAGTAGCGTCCGCAATGCTTCATTTTTGCCAGAAGAAGCCGCAATATGGAGATACGTGTTACCTCTGAGCATTCGCTTCTCAATTTTAGCACCGGCCAATATCAGCTCCTTGATAGATAGAGCGCTGTTCATTTTAATTGCTTCAACCATAGGAGTTGCACCAGCAGCATTGATAACGTCAAGATCTGCCTTCAGGAACCCCAACGCAGCGATAGCAGACGTACTTCCACTCCTTGCGGCCAAATGGACGAGGCTTTCCCCGGACTGAGTCAACCCATTGACATCTCCTCCTTTCTTGACCAGTGCAATAATTTCACAAGGGCTATTGTTAGTCACCGCTGTCTCTAGTTCAATCGCCAAATCGACACTTTTATTCTGTAAAAATAAAAAAAATAAAAATATATATAATGGAAATTACTTTTTAGTGATAATATTTAATTATATAATGTTAAAATATTACAATATATAAAAGTGCTGGTCCGTGCGGATAATTCGCAGAAGATTTTGTTTAGTGAAGAAATATTAAAACAATAAGGAAATAAGTAGATCCTATTAATTGTGTTTTCCTTGGGCAATCATAATATTTCGTTTAATATAATAGACCAAAATATTTGTACAAATTAATTTCCTAGGACTTATTTTTTAACACTGATTGAAACATAATATTCAATTTAAACCATCATAGCATTTTCTGAATTATTAAAAAAAATATAATGTATCAACATAAATATGCTATGAAGAAATAATTAAGTTTATATCAGCCATGAATAAAGACGGTCGTTAAAAAGTAAATGCAATATCTTTAAAGGGAAATTATTATTAAATATAGCAAATTTGATGGACGATTCTTTTTTTTTATTTTGTAAGGAATTTAGTAATCTTTCTAATAATTATGGATACAATCAGGATTCTGATTATATGCTGATTATAATAACCGCTGGAAAGCAGATTTATTGCTCTTCAAAACTATATAAAAAACGTCCATATAAAGAATAAATAAATATATAATTATTCAGAAATAGAGTTTCTTTTCCTTCATAACCTTTTACTTTATGCAGATAACTGAAAAGAAATAGCCCAATATAGGCAGAGATAGAGTAGATTATTTAAGAGAGCAAAAGATTTACAATATCTTGAATGTCAAAAGAAAAGAAAAACAGTTTTATATATATTATTACAATGGGGAATGGGGTAGCTCCATGGTAGAGTACTGAGCTTCCAATGCTATAAAGGTCCCAGGTTCGAACCCCGGTTCATGACAGAAAATTTATTTATCTGTTTCATTGGCCGTTGGGCGACCCTCCCAATTATTATTAAGGGAGGGACCCTTAAATAATTAATTAAGGGGGAAAACCGTTGACCTACAAACAGTTCTTTCCCTAAATAGTACTGAACCCCAGAACCTTCATGGGTTGTAGTGGTACAGGTTATTATTACAATGAGCCAGAGGAAAAAATCGTAATTTATGAGATCCCAATGATTCTCTTTCAGGTACCTCACTCATTCTAAAAGCAAGAGGAAGCTAAATTAGGGATCCTTTGTCACAGTTATATTAATATAGCGTTTGAATGTCCTTATAAAAAAAAATATTTATGATATTTACAACTGTATTAATAAATAAAATACATTTAATAAATTCAATAACAGAAAATAATAACATGAAATAACTTGTTGAAGAACGAACCACTGGTAGCACTCTAAAAAAAATAATATATTCACAATAGGAGATCTCGAGGTAATCTTCTTTTCAGATGCCTCGGAGGGGTATCAGGGATAGAAGAGGAGGCAAGATTAGAGACGAGAGGATTCGGATGGTTCTGAAGTTTATTAGGGAAGAATAGGTATATGGATTGGGCCAAATCGGAAACATAAGGAACATTAAGGTCGTTATGGATTATTCTATTGTTGACAAAGTAGGGAGCATTGAGGATTTTACGAAGGGTTTTGGGTTGTAAGGATTGGACACGAGAGGATTTCGATGGTTTAGTGGAGCCCCATAGCTCAACTCCGTAAGTCCAAATAGGCCTTATTATAGTCATGCAAATTAGTCTTTTATAGTTAATTAGAAGGTTAGAACGTTTGTCTAGTAAGTGTTGGAGTAGTCGGAAATGTCGAGCGGTTTCTTGTCGTTTCAGTCTGTTATGAGGATTCCAAGTTAGACGTTTGTCCAAGTGGAGTCCAAGGTATCGGATTTGTTCAACAGAGATAAGGATACTGTAGGACAGAAGGTCATAGGTTTACGACGAAGGGTAAAGGTGATTTGATGGGATTTATTAGAATAATAATTTAAAAGTAAATATCAAAAATAAATAAATTTTGAAAAACGTACTTTTGATTGCAGATCAATCCCATAGCTGTCAGCGAGGGGTGAGAAAATCGGTAAGATTTTAGAGTCCAGGTCTTCGGCAGCTACCATTGATTTAAGACGAGCCATTGCCACTTTAATGTCATTTTCCGGGAAAGTGAAGTCTTCCTTGAGCCAGAGAGCGACGTGTCTCGTCCGTAACTGGTCGATCTGAGTAGAACAATTAGCCAATAGGGTGCAAGATTCTGTGTCGCGACTCGCTAAGCAGCTAAGCAGAGACAACAGAAGAGCTTGAAGACTGGTGAACTCTTTTTTATTCGGGGTGATCGTATAGTGACGATGGGCTGCAGCACCGTAGTCCCATCCTTCCTGTAGCATCGTGCCTGTAACTTCCGGGCAGAGAGAACTTGCCAGAGTTTTCTCTTCATCGACCACCTGATTAGTCTCCCACGATCTGTGTGACGTTTCCACACACTAAAAATAAAATAAAAAATCGATATTTAATAGTTGATAATTGCATTATAAATGAAGCAGATCAAGCAGACCTGACTTTGCAGGTCTTCTTCAGGGCTAGAACGGACAAGATACAGAATTGTGGAAGTTACATAATATTCAGACAAATAAAATATAAACAATGAGCTTATTAAAATTATAAACAGTAAGTACATTAAAACATAAACAGTGTGAGCTAAGTAACAAGATCCTAAACTGAAGTAAATAGATGGTAACATTAACTAGGACCTTTATAGCATTGGAAGCTCAGTACTCTACCATGGAGCTATCCCATTCCCCATTGTAATAATATATATATAAAACTGTTTTTTTTTTTTTTTTTTTTTTTATTGACATTCAAGATATTGCAAATCTTTTGCTCTCTTAAATAATCTACTCCATCTCTGCCTATATTGGGCTATTTCTTTTCAGTTATCTGCATAAAGTAAAAGGTTATGAAGGAAAATAAACTCTATTTCTGAATAATTACGTTAAGAAACGTTTTTTATATAGTTTTGAAGAGCAATAAATCTGCTTTCCAGCGGTTATTATAATCAGCATCTTAATCCTGATTGTATCCATAATTATTAGAAATATTAATAAATTCCTTACAAAATAAAAAAAAAAGAATCGTCCATCAAATTTGCTATATTTAATAATAATTTCCCTTTAAAGATATTGCATTTACTTTTTAACGACCGTCTTTATTCATGGCTGATATAAACTTAATTATTTCTTCATAGCATATTTATGTTGATACATTTTATTTTTTTTAATAATTTAGAAAATGCTATGATGGTTTAAATTGAATATTATGTTTCAATCAGTGTTAAAAAATAAGTCCTAGGAAATTAATTTGTACAAATATTTTGGTCTAATATATTAAACGAAATATTATGATTGCCCAAATTAATAAGATCTACTAATTTCCTTATTGTTTAATATTTCTTCACTAAACAAAATCTTCTGCGAATTATCCGCACGGACCAGCACTTTTATATATTGTAATATTTTAACATTATATAATTAAATATTATCACTAAAATGTAATTTCCATTATATATATATATATATATATATATATATTTCTTATTTTTATTTTTACAGAATAAAAGTGTACAGATGGTAGGATCTTGTTACTTAGTTCACTCTGTTTATATTTTAATTTGTTTATAATATTTTGTCGAAATATTATGAAACTTCCACAATTCCGTATCTTTTTGTACCTTGTCCGTTCTAGCCCTGAAGTAGACCTGCAAAGTCGGGTCGAAACGTTGACTTTTAATACAATAGTTTTGTCAGTATTTTTCCAAAAATATATTGATATTATTTCTATATCTATTGATGGTTTCAAGAAGTCATCTTTTGAAATTTAAAATACTTGGTTAGACCTAACTCATTCTTCTAGTCGTCCCCTAACTGTCGAGTTTATTACTTTTTATTGATGACGAAAAATCCGCGTAAACATTAGAAAAAAAAACACGTGAAAATTGCGGATTACAGGGTATCTAACTATCTAAAAAATGAGCTGTTTGGAGTTGAAATACCAAACAGAAATACGTCTATACGAGGAGAGGAAATGTCTAAATGTTCATTGCAATCTTACTTCAGAATGGCGAGTAGTGTTGTAAAAACAATCCTTGAAGCTTAGACTCGATTTTTGAATGTTCGGCTCTGTAACCTTGAAGGTTCGAGCCTTGATTCATCCTTAATTTTTTTTTTTTTAAATATTAAATTATTGTAATAATTAATATTTCTCTGTACAAATTTACTTGATGTATTCATACTAATACAGTTGTAAATATCATAATAAAAGTTAAAAAAAAAAAATTATTGTAACTTTGTACATTTTCGTAAATATGTATATATATTTATTTATTTATTTTATTCTTTCGGTACTTACAATGTGAATATATTTCCGAAATAAAATGTGAATAAACAGATAAAACTCAGATTCGTCTTTCATTTGTTAGCAGAAACACAGGAATTATTTTAAAGAAGAACTCGATGTATTTTTCATTTTTTTTTTCTCAAAAGTGTATAACTATAATTTTCCAATTTTAAAGTACTATTCATGTTCCTTGACCTTGAAAACATAAGGGTACTGAATATCAATTTAATCCGAAATCCTTTATAAGTTCTAGGTCTAGAAAAACCCGTCTTTCTTCCCAGTTGTGAGCCGGACTTTTAGGACTCGATTCTTGGCCTAGTTGGGAAAGCTCAATCAAGCCGTTTTGGCCTAAGTCTTAAAGCCTTCAGACCAAGCTCATTTAGAACACTAGTGTAATATTAATATGTGTGAGGTGTAATATTTTTAAAATACCGTTTTTTCCCGGCTGATTCTCGTCGTTTATGTTCTCCTTTGACGGGGCTAAATCCTAAACAGCCAACTAAATGTGTTATAGCCAAAAACTTATGTTATTCGGAATAGTTATGCGAAGATGTTAAATTTTATTTCATTTCTCATTACTTAATTTTATGTTTATTCATAAAATAATATAATTATTTACAATAAATATTCTATTTCACAATGTGTTGATGTAATTTATATAGCGATTAGAACGAATACATAAAAAACAGGAAGTTAGGGGGAAACTGTTGAGAGAATATACAAGAAATGAGCCGGTGAATGAGATTGTTTGATTACGTAATTACTGTGATCATGTTTCCGAATACGCACTTTTTTTTATTATTTATTTATGATATTTACAACTGTATTAATAAAAAATACATTCTGTGAATATATTAACAGAAAATAAAAACGTGAAAACACTTGTTCAGAAACTACCCACTGGTAGAACTCTAAAAAAAAAAAATTATTTACAATAGGCCATCTTCTTTTCACACGCCTCGGAGGATTATCATGGATCGAGGAGGAAGCACGGTTAGAAACAAGAGGGTTGGGGTGGTTCTGAAGTTTATTATGGAAGGATTGGTATCTGGATTGGGTGAAATCGGGAATATAAGAAACAATAATGCCATTATAGATTATTTTATTGGTGACAAAATAAGGAGCATTGAGGATTTTCCGAAGGATTGTAAGAATTGTATACGTGAGGAGTGCGATGGTTTAGTGGAGCCCCATATCTCAACTCCGTAAATCCAAATAGGTCTTATTGTAGTCATGTAGATAAGTCTTTTATAATTAACTGAAAGCTTATGGCGTTTTTCTAATAAGTGCTGGAGTAGTCAGAAACGTGAAGAGGTTTCTTCTGGTTTCAGTATGGTATGAGGATTCCAAGTTAGACGTTTGTCAAAGTGGAGTCCAAGGTACCGGATTTTTTCAACAGGGATAAGCGGGGTATTATTAAAGGATATTGTAGGACAAGAGAAAATAGGTTTACGACGAAGGGTTAAGGTGATTTGACGGGATTTATTGAAATTTATTTTAATCCCCCAATTTTGACACCATTCTTCAAGGTTTGTGATCTGTGATTGGAGAGTTTGGGAAGAAATTGTTGGATCGTTATTAACTGATAGGGCACATGTGTCATCGTCATACGTGGTACCTTATTATTACTTTGAGAAACACCAACGGACTGAGAAAAGAGGGATGAATAAGCGTTATTGTGATTCCCTTTAAAATATCTGTCAGTTAAGTAGGAACGAATAATGAGGAGGTATGTAGAATCTAGGAATTTACGGAGTTTGTATAGCAGCACCGCGTGATCAAAGTGTCACATTTAATCAAATATAAGATTAAGTTTTATTCTTAATTTTAATCATGTTATCATTGATTCCAATTTTACCCATCTCTAATCCCCTTCAACAAAAAATGTGACTCGCATAAAAAATCCAAAAAATCAAATTTCTTACATTTCTCTCTCTAAAATTAGACCAACATTTATATAAACTTTTCTATAGGTCAGCTGTTACTCCTTTAAATATATTCCTTTGCACTCTGTATAAGTACATGAATGTTATAATAATGATATGGGTTATAAATATTCAGGACGCAGTCTTTTTTTTTTTTTTTAATTTTATATTTTTGCCAACGTTTCAACCGAAACATGTGGGTCATCTTCAGGGCGTGGTTTGAGCACTGAGGGGGTTCAAGTACTCCCTATTAAATACTAGAGTACTTGGACACCCTCAGAGCTCGAACCACGCCCTGAAGATGACCCACATGTTTGGGTTGAAACGTTGGCAAAAATAAAAATAAAAAAAACTGCGTCCTGAATATTTATCACCCATGATATGTAGAAAATTTCGACTAATTTCCTTCTATAATAATGATTAGTGGCAGCTGAGTATAAACTTACCGTTGAAGTTAGCAGGAACATTGCTAGTAGGCCGAGAGTGTACTGGGAGTCCATCTTGTCAGAAATTCTTTTGTTAGAATTGATCGTGAATATTATGATCTGAAATGATATAATTAATAATAAAATACGATCACATGATGTTTATTGTATTATTAATTTATCTCATTTATAAATTTATAATAGTTATAAGATTATTAAAAGCAAGTTTAATACTACCACGCTGTTATGTTCATTACATAAGTGCTTTTAATTTATTATATTGAGTGAACCCCTCCGCAAGATCTATTTATATTTTATAACTATATATTGAAATACATTCGAAATATATTTTATTTTCTTATACGTAGTCAGTATATTTCGATAAATACTACAATCTCACTATTATATATATATATATATATATATATATATATATATATATATATATATATATATATATATTATAACCTTACATAACTTCATATTCCTATTCTTTGTTTTACATTTTATTTTAAGATTACCATTTTTCATTTATTATGTTAATTTATTTTTATTATGTTTATTTCATTTGTTCGTACTTTTTTGCTGTTATTATTATATATTTCTTAGTTTTCTGTTACTGCTATTATTCTACCTGCTTTATTTTACTTTGATGTTCACTCTATCTACTTCATTTTACTTTAAGTTTATTCTACCTACATTTTTTAGTCTATATCTTTTTTATTAAATTTTTAAACTCACACATATTGCTATGTGGGTTTTTTCTTAGCCCTGATGATTGCCTGCAATTCGGGCCGAAACGTCGCTAAATATAAAAATAAATATAGTTTTTTATTTTGACTAATCAACCCAAACACCCTTCTCTTCAAATAAAAGTTACATTACGATAAATCAATTAGTCATGTAGTGAGTTGAACTTCAGCAACTGGGCGAAATATTAACGTTAATGAAGAAACTGAGAGTTTCTTTCGAGGCCGTAAAATAGTGCTGTGGAAAATTTTTTATTATCAATACATGGAACAATTTTTAGAACAGTATTAACAGGGTTGTTTTCATGAAAAAGATTTTTTTTTTTGGCATACACTTTAGTTTTGGTTTATATATCCTGCTTCAGTCAAAAAAGACAAATATATATTTTTTCGATCACATATTATTTTAAACTATTTCAAGTTAATTCGATGCTTAATTTGTTTTAAAAATTTTTACTCTATCCTTCAAACAGAATTTTAGAGAGATTTAAAACTAAATTTTTTTAGCAACGCTCCTGTATTGATATGTTATTAATTCCTTCTTCGATATTCAGGAAAAAAAAATATAATGAAAAGAAAAATGTTTTGGGGTCTAACTCGCTAAGTTTATATTATATAGTAAAATTTATAAGAAAGCCTTTGAAAGGCAATTAAATTCCCTACAGAACTATATAAAAATCTTTCATTTCGAACAATTATTAACGAAGTTACAGCTTTTCAATTTTCAATGTAAGAATGTGTTCCTTTCCTGGTTTCAGAAAGGGGTGAATAAGAGAAAAAAAGAGAACTAAGTGAAAATAAGAAAATCTGTTGCTCGCATCCCACAGCTTCACTATTTACTCAACTTTTGATAGAAATTATTGTGTGACAAAATTAGGCTATGGCACAAAGTTTTTGATCAATAATATTAGAGGGTATTGAAATTTTTACACTGATCTACCTTAAGCCGGTTTACATTGCTTGAGTTTATCAAATACATCGTACTCAAATGTTTGATAAATTTTCAGGAAAATTAATCTAATTCAATTTTCTTTTTTTGTTCCTTAATGGACGTATGTAAAGATATAAATTTTATTCTGAAATAGGTAAGAAAGTCGTGTGAATGGACAAACTAGATTTTTAAAATATCTTTAAAAGTTTATATTATACTACGACTTTCAGTTTGATTCCCTAAATATAAACAAAATTTATAGAATTGCAACTGTAACAGAGAAATTACTTTGAGTGGCATACTCAATAGTTTCTAAATAAGTTCTGGATAATATATAATGAAAAAAACAAATAGGAATATAATTTAACAAAGAAGAAACTATGTCATACTATGTTATATTGAATAAGACTACACAGACACTATAGATAGGCATTAAGTTGACAAAATGATCCTCACAATAAATAAATAAATGATACTTACTAACAGACCGCTCGCTGTTAAACTCCGCCAACTGATCCTCCCACCTGACCTCCGCACTATTTATCCTTGCTGATATCTCCATCGGCCAGATAGCCGTTTAAAAAATAGCTATGTTTTGATTGGGAATTCCCAATACGGACACAAAAGCATAACAATACCATCGTACATCGCAAGTAATCACGGGCGGATGTACGGAGGTGATGGGGGCTTTTGACTTGAATAATAATAATAAAAGATTTTGGCACACGAAACCGGTCTCGCCTCGATATTCTCTTACACAATTAAAATTCATTTCGACTATATTTTGAAAGTGCTGCAGATGCTGGGTTTTCGTTTGCCACATATCCTAGCTAAAGAGGTGATAACTTTTTTTTTTTAATAATCTATTTATTGAATAATAATACAATCAGCCACTGCTGGAGGGCTATAAGTATCAGGGCTAAAAGTTCTCATTAATACAATATATACAAATAATAAAGAAATAAATATAAATATAAGAAGTAAATAAATAATACTGATGAAAAAAGTAAATAAAAAGAAAAAAAAGTAAACAAATAAAATAAAATAGAAGCTTCAAAACACAATCATACCTATATACAATATATACATTCGTCCAGGAATCTCCGAGCCAGGCTTTACCCCCGACATGTGGAAGGCAAAGCAAGACTCCAGGAGATCTCAGTGCCACTTTGCCAGCCGCATCACTTGTATTAGAAGCCAGTGGAGACTGAAAGAGGGCACTAGAGTCACAGACGCTCACGACATTAGTGGAGTAGCTGGCCTTTGCCAGGACACATATTTACAAGAGATCTCTGGGCCACTGCCGTTTTAACCTTCGAGGAGGACTGTAGGGATGAAGGGAGCTGGATAGGGATTGAGCTAGAAGATTTGGATGATGGATAAGGTTCTAGTGAATGTTTGAGATGGGATGATGTCGAGGACAAATGGGATGTTAAGGTCACGGTGTAAGGTCTTGTTTGTGACATAATATGGAGCATTGACTATTGTTTTAAGTACTTTGGATTGGAAGCATTGGATGCGTTTGATATTCAAATGTTTAGCAGTTCCCCACAGTTCAGGGCCAGATAGGTTTCAGTATGGTCTTGTAGATTAAAAGTTTATTTTCAATCGAAAAATGAGATGTCCTACTTAGTAATCTATACAGCTGGTCATATCGTCGGTTATACCTTGTGCATGTAGACATACATCTGGTTCAGTGAGTTAAGAGAGAAATGTTTTGGGCGGCTGACCTGTTCTCCGGAAGAATTATTTGGTTTCTTAAAGGGTTCTAACTGGAAAGCCTTAAGCAATTATGTACAGAAGGCCACATTGCAAAGATCTCAATTTGTCAGATAGTAAACTATTGATACAATATCGTGTTTATTTATTGTAACGTTTGTTTTATTGTTATACTGAATTTGATGATTATTATTATTGTTGTTGAAATTAAATTTCTTATTTATTGGATTTATGATGTATTGATGTTTGTTTTTAGAAAACTCTATTTAAACAAATGAAACAGTGAAGAAGAAAATTGCTAGAATGGATTTATAAATGTATAATAATACTGTATACTATAATAATACTGTAAGGTTATAACTCATTCATTTTACTTATAAATGTAATGCATATTTATTATTAATTACACACAGACCACGACAGACAAAATTTTCCATTGTCTATGTGTTGTTGCTCATGTGTATATATATATATGTTTATATATATTCGAGGGTTCGATGCCGACACCCCCAATCGCTGTCTACACACCTCTACCGATCACCGTCCAAACCCAGTCCCTTCAAAACGGCCTTAACGCAATCTTCCCATCACCGCATCGGTTTACCCCTCGGACGTTTATCAGTCAGCACAGCAAATATTAACATATTAACATACAAAGTCCAACAATTTTACAAGCCCATTTAATTCGCCGGGATGTAATCACCTCAATTATATTAACCGAATACAATTCACGCAATTCGGCGTTGTGTAACCGTCTGAACTCTCCGGTTAACTCATCCTTCTTCGGTCCGAATATCCTACGCAATAATTTATTTTCAAAACCTTATAACGTTGCTCACCCATTGATGTGAGCGGCCACGTTTCTATTCCATAAAGAACCTTAGGTAGGAAATGGTTTTATAGATTCTAATTTTTATGTTTCGGGAAAGAAGGCGCGAGCTAAGTAATTTTGTCACAGAAAAATAAAAAGCATTTCCCGCCTTCATCCTAACCTTAATCTCCTCTTCAATTTCGTTCTTTTCTAGTAATCGTAGATCCTAGATACCTAAACTTCTCTACAAGTTCAAAAACATTACCTTCTTTATCGATATCACCAGAATTATCGATATTTTTGCAGCATATATGCTTTGTCTTATCCGTGTTTATTTCAAGTTCTAGTTCTTTACCGGCTTTCATTAACGTTGTCGTATTTAGTTTTATAATTTCCGTGTCTTCGCCTAACAGGACCAAATCATCCGCAGATCCAAGCACGGGTGTTGTTCCACCCAGATTCAACACTTTTTGGGTACACAATACTTCCTTAAAGGCATGTCCTAATGCCAAATTTAAAAGGAAGGAAACACTTTGTTTTAAACCCGAACGAACCTTAAATTTTTAGGTGAATAATTACCGTTTTCGTCAAGCACTCCACTAGATTTACTATTTTTTCTTATTGGAATCCACTGTTCCATTAATAGGAGAAACTCTTAAGGGGACCCTACACGGTCAATCGGAATTGCACTAATGACGTTCCGAATTGTCGTGTAAGGTAGTGAATGAAGTACTGATGGTGGTGCGCTGCGGATTTCCGAACATCCGGAAATCAAAGGTTCATTCACGAGAAGTGGAGGGGGGACTGAGGTAAAAGTAGTGGGGAGACTAACCATACTGCTGGATAGGTTAGGTTACCTAGGCCTCACAACCATTATATGTAAATAGTTAAATCATTTTTCATATCCCTTGTTTATAATTTTAAACCATCTTCAACTATTTCTTTTAAATAGTCAAGTGGGCAACAAATTAAAAAAAAATGAGGAAACTTCACAATTTACTTTAGGAAAAAAAAAACTTTAACGTTGTATATATTTATCAGTTCTTTTCCCATTTTCCTCAACAAATTTATTATTTTCGCAATACCTTTCCTTAATTTTTGTAAGTAGTAGACTTATATTTTACTAACCTTTGTCAAAACGATTTTCTCTGAGACTAACCTTACTACTAGATAGGTTAGTTTACCTAGGTCTCGTTATTTAGTAAATAATTTCATAAAAGTGAATAGTTGTTTATATCCTTAGTCTATATTATTATTAACCATTTTCAACTATTTTTTCTTTAAATAGTCAAGTAGGCAATTAATTGGAGAGAAAAAAAAGTTGAAACTTCACATAAGTAATGATTGAACGTGTAAGGGTCTTCATGATCAAAGCGATAGCGGGCAATCTTGGAACTTCTTATGACGTTCATTCATGAATTACCGTGTATGGTCTGCTTTAGGCATAACGGAAAATATATAACATTTCATAACCTTCCAACTGCAGATTTCCACATAAATATTATACAGTCGTTGAATACAGCATAAACTATTTAATATCACTAATTTAAATAAGTAAATTTTAAATCATTAAGAACATTTTTAGATTGACCTTGTTTTGATGTCTATATTTTATACAATAGAACTTTGTTATAAACTTTAAAAGATTCTTATCAAACAAAATTAAACTAATTAACCCTAACTAAAATACATAAAAGTGGAGCTCCACTTACTCTTATTATCAGTAATATCAATGGAGAAACTGAAAAACTTGGCTAAATATATCAATTAACAAACTCAATATACTAAATTAGATAGTAACAATGATGTAAAAAGTTCTATGGAGGTGGATCAAATACATGAAAGAATAAATAAAATAGAAAACAGGTAAACGAACATTGTTTGATCTATTTTGATGTAGAAAATATATTTACCAATAGCAACTGGAAAGATGTAATAAAAATAGTTGAAAAATACTGGGAAACAATAGAAACGCATACACAAATTAAAGGTTTTTATGGAAGATATGGATTGAAATATCTCAGAAGCTAAAAGTCGGACCTGCATACTATAAGCGAGGGAAGTGTTCAACATTTGACCCTCTTTATAATGAGCTATTATTTATAATTTATATTTCATATTATTAATCTCGTCTTGTTGCTGTTTTCACTTCTATCGTATGGTCTAAAACACACACTTCAGTTTTTTTATCTTAAATATTGATTTCCTAAAATACTCAGCTTTCCAACGATGTATTATGAGTTTATCTTCTGACTATTATTTCTAAATTTATTTCCAACCTAAATAAACATGTTTCCATGTTTCACCTCTTTTTTAGTAAATTATCAAATTCTTTCAAAGGCTATATTTATCCATTTTTTTATTACTGCAAACAATAAGAGATAGTTAATTATTTAAAATAAATCAAATTAAAAGTACTTCAGAGGAGTAATTTTTGCATTAGGCATTTGAGCAGTTTTAAGCGACATCAATGGGGATAATACCTGAATGATTTAATTGTACGTTTTCGAGAAAATAATTAAAATGCTTTAAATCGATTATATAAAGTACCATTTCCGTTTACTTATATTCCAGACGTATACCTAACATCTCAGGCATTTACGAACCTTAAATATAAAATACCACTTTCGTTCGAGTTTTTATTATTGAGATAGACCGTTAACATACATAAGCACACACAAACCATTTTGCAAGACTTGGTTATTTGGTTTCAGAAGACCTCAATACGTGTATTCTCGTTGAAAACTCAGATTCGTAAACTTTCACGATTGCCATACTCTCCCTTACTAAATATTTCGTTTATAGGTAAGTGAAAATAAAAAGAAGACAAATTTCGAAGCTTATTTTTGTTCTGTTCATTATTCCAAGAATTGGTGTCTCGAGGTTTTATTTTTTTATAAATTAGACCATTATTCATCAATATATTATTTATTATTTATTTTATTTCGACAAAGTTTCGACCACCACTAGGGCAATTTTCAAGTCTGGAAAAACTTAAATATCATTGTTAGATTACATTTATTAATTTAATACATACAATAATTATCTGATCCAACGATACATGTCATACAATTTCACTATATATAAATTTGTATACTTTTTTAAAAGCCTATCAAGTAAGTAATTTTACTCATTATATAAACTTGATTTTTACCTCTTGAACCGTCCAATAAATTTTCACTATTCACTATCACATTAATTTTCAGAGAAAAATAAACTGTCCATATATTTTAGAGTTTCCCCCACGCCATTTCTGGAGGAACTGAATTATATCGTCCGGGTGGGGATGGTCAATGGGAGTGGGGGTATTTCTTATATTCTTTTGCAGTGGTGTATTATTTTATCTAAATTGTGGATTCTATGTGTCCGTATAAGATTCTAATGAAACTAATAAAATCGAGCTTTCCTATAATTATTCCCATTCTTTACCATATCGATAACTTTTTCTGCAATACTCCATATTTACATCTTCTAGGAAAACTGCCTTAATCCGACCTTTGAATAAAATTTCCAACCCCACTTCATTGCACGACTTCCGTCCTATTTCTCTCCTATCCAACCTGTCAAAGTACTTAGAACGCCTTGTCCAGAATCAACTCTACAACTTCCTAGAGGAATGTTCCCTCATCAACCCATTCCAATCTGGCTTTCGAAATGGATACTCAATGCAATTCACTCTCCTTAAAATAACCTATGACCTCCAAAACTCTGTTGAACACCAAAACCTTACTATCCTCATCTTTCTAGATTTTTCCAAAGCGTTTGACACTCTTGAACATAACGCCCTCCTTACTAAATTACACAATCTTTCTCTATCCCACAGTACCCAGCGGTGGTTCAAATCCTTCTTTTCAAATCGGTCCCAGTATGAAGTCGTCCCAAGTCAACCTCCATCTAATACCCTCCCCTTCTCTTGTGGTGTCCCTCAAGGTTCCTCTCTATCACCTATTCTGTTTGCTATTTACATAAATAACCTTCCCCTCACGATCCATCACTCCTAAGACCATATCTATGCAGATGATTTCCAAATATACCACAAAAAAGCTTCAAGAAGATTTGGATGGGATTTGTGACTGGGGGGAAAAGAGGAAGGCAATCTTAATATGCTCCAATCACTTCCTTAAAACTGTTCATATTATTCCAACTCTGTTCCTGCATGATAATCCCATTAAATTTTACTCCACCGTCAAAAATCTTTGATCAAACGCATTCCTGGAAAAACCATTGAACCAACATTTCCACTATAAAACGTCTAAATTATTATCGCCACCTGTTTCTCCTCTGAAACCCGTGGGCTCATAGTCGCTTCTTTAATATTTCCCCACTTTGACTATTGCTGTACGGTATATGGTGGCGTCTCTGGGGATCTCGAGGCGGAACTAAAACGTTTGATAAATTACTTTATAGGATTCATCTTCGTAAACCATTGACTTCCTGTCCTTCAGTATCCTTTAACAACATCTCACTTATTCCTGTTGAACAAATCCGTTACCTAGGACTCCATCTGGACTAACTTGGAATCCTCATACCAGACTGAAACGACAAGAAACAGCTCGACGTTTCCGACTACTTCAACACTTACTAGACAAACGCTCTAACCTTCCAATTAACTATAAAAGACTAATTTACATGACTATAATAAGGCCTATTTGGACTTACGGAGTTGAGCTATGGGGCTCCACCAAACCTTCAAATTTCTCTCGCATACAATCCAAAATCCTTCTTAAAATCCTCAATGCTCCTTACTTTGTTACAAACAAAATCATCCGTAATGACCTTAATGTTCCTTATGTATCAGATTTGGCCCAATCCAGATATCTGTCCTTCCATAATAAACTTCATAACCATTCCAACACTCTTGTATCTAACCCTAATCCTCCGAGGCGTCTGAAAAGAAGATGGCCACGTGATCTCCTAATATAGAGATACTATTAGAGTGTTACCAATGGGTAGTTTCTCAACATGTGTTTCATGTCTTTATATCCATGTACGAATTTACCAGATGTATTTTTTGTATACAGTTGTAAATATCATATAAATAAAAAAAAAAAAAAAAAAGGATTCATCTTCGGGATCCCAAGGGACGCCTCTGTTTCCTCTTTTTATGAAGAGTTGAAGTGGTTTTATACTTGATATCGCCGTATTTTATAACATCCTTACTCTTTCAAGTCATCCAATCCCGCCGTCCTTCATACATCTCCGAGCTCCTTTAATTCAAATCCTCTGTTCGTTTCCGCGATACCTGGTCTATAGATTTATAAACAAGGGTCCACCGAACTGCTTCTTTCGACAGATCGTTCATTTATCCGATCCTCATCCCTATGGAACTCCATGCCTTCCCACATCCATCAATCCTATACCATTCCTAACTTTAAAACCCGCCTGTTCAATCATTTCTTATCCACCCATTCCCCATAAAATTGTAAATGGAAACTACTGTAAATATGTATATAAATTATTAGATCGTCCTTCATTTTTTTTTATTATTTTATGTTTTTTTTCTATTATCAACTGATTAAAATTAGAAAGTAACTTATGCTTTTTTATTTGTTTATTTAATTACTCTGTATTTTTGTTTATGAATCTCTGAGCCTGCATAGCCCACATTGCTGTTTTTATGTATTATTCTAAAGGGACTTGTTTCAGAATAAATAAAGTATTACTATTATTATTATTATATTGCTTTTAAGTTAATTATTATATTACATGCAAATATTGTTTATTACATTTGCGTAAAAGGTATTTAAATGTTGTTAACGGAACTCTTCAAATTTTTAGTGATATATATTGGCTCTATAATTTTTATTTTATTGTTAATATTTTCCTTATATATTATTTTAGCATTTTTAAAATAAAATTAGTGTTTATTGTATGTTGTGTGTTGTGAACGGCCTGGCCTGTTGATGTGTTTGATTTGGACTTTTTGTTTTGTTGATGTTGTTTTATTCTTTTTGGGAAACATTGTCCCGTTTGTCCTGTATATGATTTATTAGTGCAATTTTTACAAGTTATTTTATAAATAACGTTACTTTTCATGTCACGTGGTATATTATCTTTAGTTTTAGGATACATTTTTTCAATTTTATTTATATATTTATTTTATTATTCATTGATATTCACAACTGTATTATAAAAAAAAAAAAATACAACTAGTAAATGTGCACACAGTAATAATACAATCCCATGAAAACGCTTGTTGAGAAATTAGCCATTGGTAGCTCTTTAATAATATATTTACGTAATTACATCACGAGGCCATCTTCTTTTCAGAAGCCTCGGAGGGTTATGAGGGATTGAGGAGGAAGCAAGGTTTGAAACGAGAGGGTTCGGATGGTTTTGGAGTTTGTTATGGAAGGATAGTTATGTGGTATATGGGCCAAATCGGAAACATATGAAACATTAAGGTTTTTATGGATGATTTTATTTGTGACAAAGTAAGGAGCGTTGAGGATTTAATTTTATCTATAACAAAAAATGTAAATGTATTGAGCATTTCAGTTTTTTGTTTCTCAAGCTGTGCTGTTATGATAATATTATTCCTGATTATCATTGGTGGCCTTCCTATCATAACTGCTATCAGAATACTAAGTAAAAGTTTAAAAAGGAATAAAATGCAAATATTTTTTATGTAAGCAAACAAAATCCTTAATTAATCGTTGGCTTTTAGTCGGAAATGGAATTTCATATGTACGCGGAAAAACCAGGCCTCGTTATCTAGGATTTTATTAAAAAAATTTTAACAGTATTTTATCTTTAAATTTACCAAATCATTAATAGGTCAAAGGTTTAAAACAGGCCACTTTAGTTATGGTTTATCGCCGGGATCATCTGAGCGATTAGAAGGGAAAATCCCGATTTAAATGACGAAATGTCTCTTAGATAGTTCTTTCATTTGCGAAGACCTCGAACTAATTAATAAATTCCAGAAAGAATTTATTTAAAATGAATTTGTATTTTTCCCAACAATGCTATTTTCTTTTATTTTGTTTCACTTGCAGATTTATAAATATTGGGATGGTGGGAGAAAAAAAATTATTCATTTAGGTAAAAGGCTTAGAGCATGAAGAAGCGGTTTGAGCGGGTATAAGAGTGCCTAAGCGGGTTGTGATCTTCATTATTTTCTCTTCTGGATATAACCTGCTGTGAGGTAGCATTTGATTTAAAATGCTTCACCGGAAAGAATTATATTTTTATAACCGCTTGAGCTGTCCAACCTCTCCATCAGTTTCTGGCAGACATTTCTGCCATTTTTCGGGTAATGAAAATATCTATTACCACAAAGAGGGTAATTTGAGTTCTGGGAAGGGGAGATGGTTAAAAAAGATTAGTGTTGCCTAAAATCGGTCTTGGTCTTGCACTTAGCAAGACCAAGACCAAGACTGGTAAAAATAAATCGTTTTTATGAACAACAAATTAAGGCAAGATAGTTACTAATATTGACAAGTTTAGTTAATAGATGTAAAGAAGTGGTATAACCAACATACTTTTGCATTTAATTCTTCTAAATTTTTTTTTCGGTCTTAGTTAGGTTTCCCAATTCTGAAAAATTAAAGTAATATCTCTATATGATAAATGGCGCATTAAAGTGAATGAGTCGAAATGCAAAGATATTACCTTTACTCTTCGACGTAATTCCTGTCAACCAGTATACTTTAATTCCATCCAGCTTCCTTACTTAGACACAGCCCGGTATCTTGGCTTTCTCTTAGACCGAAGACTAACAGAGAACCCTTATACTAGACTCAAAAGACAAGAACTCAACCGACGATACGGCCAGGTATACAGTCTACTAAACAGAAAATCTCAACTTTCAATTGACAACAACCTACTGATCTACAAGAGACAATTGCTGAAACTTATTTGGACCCGGATCTTATTGGACTTATACGGACTGGAACTGTGGGGGACAGCAAAAGTTTCTAACATCAAACGCATTCAATCCTTTCAGTCCAAAGTCCTTCGAACAATAGTTGGTGCTCCGTTCTGTGTAACCAACCTAACCCTACACCATGACCTTAATATCCCATTTTTCCTAGACCTTATCCCTCAAAAATTTTTCAAATTCCATCAAAATCTTATCTATCATTCAAATCCAATTGTACAATCACTCTCTAGCACTACTCATCCCTATAATGGGCAGTGGCCCAGAAACCTCTGGTAAGAATATATTGGAGTTCTGGCAATGGCCAGATTCTCCACTCAAGCCATGTATGTCTGGTTATAGTGTCTCTGCTCAGCCTCCATTGGTAATATCAGTGATGCGGCTGAGTGAAAG